TGGGAGGGAATGCTGCAATAATCAATCACACCTTGATTACAGTATTTTCTCTGCTCCAGTGTTGCCTTGAGAACTGCAAAGTGGCTGAGATGTTTTTATCTGAACAGAAAAGGAGCACATTGGGTCCAGAGCAGCACTTCTTGGAGTTAGTTTCTAAATTAGTTGCTTCAGTGTATGTCTAATGTAGCCATGATTCTTCTGGGTACCACCAAGCTTTGGTTCCCCAGGCTAATGTTGGCTGCTGCTGAATTTGCTGCTGGCATTTCTCCAAATGGCAGCACAAGCTTTCCCAGGTGGTTGGGATGCAGATCCCACAGTAATATGTGGAGGAATGAGTACTGTGGCCACTCTCATCCTCCTGCCCAGATGCAGCAATGTGTACATTATCTGACATCTGACTGTGAGGCATGATATGTTTTGGTGAGGTGCTTAGCTGATATCCCTGATATCCCACGGGAAATCACATTAGAGTGGTCCCATATGCTGCTGCTGGAGATCCTGTGCTCTTTCTGGGTGGGTGCATTTGCCCACCATCCATGTCAGAGTCTTCAGAGAAGCCGAGGCAGACCTCCATCTGGCCAAATCCTGTCCCAAAAAGAAGGCTCGTTCTGAAGAGGACTGGCAAACTGAATTCCTGTGACAGATAAGGCAGCTTCTGTAGGGTAAAAAAATATGGCTACAGACCAGCTAGAAACCACCAGAAGTTTGTTTCAGCTGCAGCAGCTAGATTGCAATAGCAAAAAATATTCTTAACACTAACTAGTTTGTCAACCAGTGGACAAAAGAATTTCTTGCACAATTCAGAGGAATATGCTAATACATTTGTAAGGAAAGGGTTTAAAATTGCACAACGTGCTGAGGAATGATATGTGTGGGGATTTTGTCTCATGGCCATTGGCAATTAGAAGGAATGGAGAGATAACTGCATTTGCTCTGTTCTTCATTCCATGGAGCACAGGGAGGCTCAACCACAGCGGATACTGCAGGCCAAAAGTATTCAGTTGAGCATGCATGGGATGAGTCCACGGCAAGGAGAGTCTGCACAGAGTTCAAAGAACAACTTTCTGTATGACATTGTGGAAAATATATCACAGTAAAGATGTCACCCAGAGAAGGTTTTGTTGGCCTAATCAAATATTAGGAAAAAGTTCTTTACTGAAAGGGTGGTCAAGCACTGGAATAAGCTCCCCAGGGAAGTGGTCATGGCACCAAGCCTGTCACTGCTCAAGAAGCATTTGAACAATGCTCTCAGATGGTTTACCTGGATCCTCATGGGTTCCTTCCAGCTCAGAATATTCTATGATTCTAATTATTCTGAATTCAGTGACTAGTTAGGTATTTGTTATTCACTTCCAAACTATTATGATTTATATCGTGTTTCACGTGGTATGACTAAGCTTTGATTCCAACAGAGTTGTTACAAATATTATTAAGAAAACTGTGTCATTCTGAAAGTAAAACAATGCATAGATTTATTTTCTATGCCTTTAAAAAATAAGAGCAATGAGCTATTCTAAGCAATAAAGGTATGTCAGGTTGAGGTCTTTTTATGTAAATGTACTTATCTTAAATTGCTCAAAACAGAAACTTCATTTCTGTGGTGTAAACCATTTTCTTAACAATTCATTTAGTCAACATAGCAATTACAGAACCACTCTTAAAAGTCAGTATCTAAAAGACTTGCAGATTTATAGCAGCTGGCTTGTGTTATTTACAGTCCACTTGTTCAGACTGGTTGAAATGGAGCATACTCACTTTTTCCCTGGATGCTGGCTTAGGACTTGCTAAGACTTTGGGGAAACTCATTCTTGGTTAGATCTCTAACTGAAATGTTTCCAAAAGGATTGATCTGTACTCGTCCTACTCAGAAGAACAATTGGGATTCAAGGCTAAGTGAAGGAGATAGCTATATTGCAATGGAAGAGCAGATTGCTAGTGTAGATGCATCTCCCTATACATCTCGTTAGTGTAAAAACAAATGGGATGGGGTCTCCTTTTCTCTTGAGCTTCCTCCAACTGATGAGAGATTCCTTCAATTTTCAAAAGTGTCAAAGATAGTTTTTCATTTTGTTGTTGGAAGTTTCCTTCACTTCACATTCTTTTTTTCCATTTGTTTGCTTGCTTGTTTGTGTAGCAGTTGTTATAGCATCTATAAACAGGAAAATGATTGCATGTCTCCCCTCTCCTCCTGCTTTTAATGCTCCCTAAAAATAAATTCTTGTGTCTCACTCTCATCTTCCCAGATGTTACATCTCTCTGGAGTGTAAATAACTGAATAACTTAGTACTCATACACAATGTGATACCTTTGATTTTAGTGCATCAAAAATAGGTTCTGATATAGAGAGTATCAGTATCAAAAGTGAAGGCAAGTGCTCTGTTCTCATGAATTCAAAGTGAAATGAGCACTTTGATGTGAATTTCAAATGAACACGGAGGGAGCGGTCCTTTCTAAAGTAGTTCAGTCGGCACCTGTAACCTCTTAAACTGCAGCCCTATCTCTCATGTGAATCAATATTTGAACCAATATTTACTTAGGACTCAGGCATGATTTATATGGGAGTCTTGATTTTGCAACAACTGGTGTGTTACTCAATCAGATTCCCAGATGACTGGTTAATACATAACGAACCAGATTTGTAAATTCAGTTGGCACGTGCTATTATCAGAATGGAAAGGGGAAATTAATTGTATCATGTTGTATTTAATTCATAAATCTGTTAAATACCTGTAACTGAGTACTACGTGCTCTGGTTAGAGGGGCAATGGGTTTCATTCCGTTTTCAGAGAGTTTCTAATCTGGATTAATTTCTTGGTGACCATTTTCTAGTTGTCATAAGTAATTGTGTTATTCCTCTTTGTCAAAATGGAAAAAAAATAGGATTAAATTAATTACTTACAAAATCCCACATTAAAAAACTATAGTGTGCAGCACTAAATCTGGTAACAATTAACAGTGAGCTTAATTCTGGGGTCAAAAACTAGCCCACTGTTGTGAAGTTTAGGTATATCACAAAACTACTCTGGCTCTGTGTAAAGTTACCTTCACCTCCCGGGCATTATCAGTGACTGTTTCTGAAGGAAGGCCATTTGTCTGGATGATGAGGAGTTCCATACAAAAACCCACTCCATTCGTTTTATGCCAATATTGCAATAAAAAGATTAATGAAAGAATCTAAAGACCTATACAATAAGCAGTTATTGTTAATTAAAGATACTAGGTCAGAGAACTTACTTTGAAAATGTTATTTGATCTTTTGGAAGAGATTTTTTTTATATAAAATAAACGAGCCCAGGAAATTCAGAGTAATACATTTCCTCCTACAAATAGCAATGGTGACTTAAATCTATTCAGATAGGTTAAGAAATCCTCAGTGTCTCTGTAAAACAGACAAGACCTATAGCTTTCTAGGTCCCATGCTAGAACACTTGAAAAATCAATGTGAGTGTGTGTCTGTGTGTATGTAAGAACACAGCTGGCCCCTGAAATGCTCTAACTTCTTTGTTCTCACGATCCTCCTGTATTTACCCTGTCTGCCCTTCACATGTGTGCTCTAAGTCCAGTGACCATTTCTTTGGCAGTCAGTTCACCATGAATGATCACACTGTGGCATATTTGGAATCATTTTCTACCTTAGTGACCTTTCTTAAACCTCAGGCTGCTCCTTGTTATCACTGAGAAGGAACAAATGTGTCTGAGTGAGGCGAATAGCTGAAGCTCTTGCCTAGAACATATATCTTGCCCCAGGCTCTGCCAGCAGAGTTCCATTGCTGCCATTGCTGCAGGCTTGGCTCCTCAAAGATTCCAAAACTTCTCTCTGCCACCTCCTTACTCTGAGTGCACCCATGATAGAGGTTTAATGGCCCATGAGGAGATAACCAGCTAGAAACCATTCTTTGACTGAAATGGGAAACTCTGCCAGGATGGCATAGAAATGATACCAACTGCTTAAGTATAATCAGCACCCAAGTCAAGACTATGGTGTCTGGAATCCATATCTGGAATCCACCCTTTTACATCCTAACATAGGAAAAAACTGCACCATGCTCGAATAACCAGCAGTACTGGAGTTGCAAGTTCCATCACAAATCAATCACTTCAGCTTGCTGTTAGTCCATTGCTATGCATGCTTAGCATAGCAAATTGCTGCATAACAAGCAAAAACAGAGGGGGGAAAAAAAGATATTTTAGAAGTCCAGGACACTTTAAGATTAGTCTGTGCCCTACCTCATTATTTGGGTAAATAATAGATTTTGAAATGTTTTAGAAATGTATGCACATTTTTATTTTACTACTGCCTATTGTTCAAGCAACATATTCATGTAGGTGTACTCTGGAATATTTTTATTGTGTTATACTTAAATATAAAGCATTTACTATCATGTTAATGGAAGCCACATGAACATAAGAAGGAAGTCTTCTAGTTGGCTTGCTCCTGTGTCCAGTATGTGTCCAGTGAATGCGCTTGGGTTCTTCACAGCACACAGGCTCTGAGCATTTAACACAAGCAGTGACAGTGCCTGGTGCCTGGTTATGGTGCACTACCTGCTTTATCCTACGTGATTCTCTGCAGCTTTTTATTGGTGACCATTTTTACATACATGGTAATTAATTCTGTGGTTTTTTTCCCCCTCCCTAGTCACCACATCATACCTACCTCATGCCAGCCCACTTGCTGTCAGGGAGACATGCCCCACCTTGTGTAGGCAATTTGTCTGTGTTGCACTCTTGAGACAGCTAGTGACTCTGGCATGTTCTTCCTTGCAGCAGTTTTGTTTGGCTTTCAGCTATACACTTCCACAGTGGAATTCATAATGCACAAAACTATTAGTCCAATACCTGGCCACAGTAGGCATATTGGAAAAGACACAGATTATCACAGTTTAGAATTTCCTGAGTGTTTTCAGTGGTTTTTGTGGTAATTTTTAACCCTAGGAAGAGTTACAAAGACATGCTATCAAAGACAAGAGACTATATCCAGTTTCTTTTTCTACTGGCAGGCTGAAATTTATCCCAGTGAGGCTGCAAAGGATGTGGAAGGAAAGCTACAGATGGCAGGTCAGCTCTTGGACAGGAGAGCAGTAGGGCACCAACACAAGTGGGGCAGGAAGGGGAAGCAAAGAGTCTGTCCCTCTGTGGCTTGAGTGGCTCTGTCACAAAAGGACAGTGGTGCAAACTGAGCAAGCAACGACGACCTGATGGTTGAGGACCCCCCTCCAGTGCCTTTCAGTGCATTCCTCCAGCCTGCAGGACCAAGCACAGCCCTGACCTGATGAGCTGCTTCTCATCCAGAAGTAATAAAACCAAAGATTAAGAGGGAAGAGAGAGCCAATTCAGTGCAGGTAAAGAAGTGGTTACTATAGCAACTGTTTTCTTTTTTGATCATAGGTTGGGAGGACTCCCTTGCAAGGGGATTTCTGTGCAGTCTCCAGGCTGGAAGGGGAAGTTGCTTCAAGAATCTTGTTTGACAAAGGCTGCATGGCTGCACTCTTGAACTCTGCTGGGGATCGGCG